CTGGATGTTTTGCTACAATACGATTAGATGACTTTGTTAAGGTCTTTGTGTGTGTTTATAAACACAGTCCTTGTTTATAAACACGTTGCTGTTTATAAACACTGCTTGCATACAGCTTTGGTGTTGGGGGAGGGGGGGGGCGGGGGGAGGGGGGTCTCGAGATGTTGAGGCTTTGTTTCAAGACTGCCCTCCCCCCCCCCCTTCCCCCGTCCCTCAGCCGTCTGTCCAGGTCCCGCGGCTTGCAGAGACACCGTTGCCATCGACGAGTTCAGGGTTGTTGATTGTTGGTTTTGCGTTTTAGAGCTAGTATTAGGTTGTTGATGATGCAAATCCTGCATTGTTTACAATATAAGGAATATACCGTATTTCCCATGTCTAGGGTCATAAAGGTGATGCAGGATTTAAATCATCAACCATATGCATATGCCTAAAGCCCTAACCCGTATTTCGCGGCAACCATCCCCCAGTTTATAAACACCGCCCTTTTTTATAAACACGGCCCCTTTTTGGTAAGTACAGCACCTCGGCAGCATTAATTCCTTTTTGTTTCGTTGTAGCTACACGCATGACGGTAGGAAGCGAGAAGAGAACCATGCTGCAATCTATTGAAGTCTGCGAGAAGAGAACCATGCTGCAATCTATGGAAGTCCTTGGCTTCAAGCAGTTGTTAGAACAGGAAAGAAGATGAAAAGGACAGCCTCTGTAGCTGGATTCCTGCACGTAGAGGCCGGTCGTTGTCGACTGGAGCTTATGCATGCAGAACCAAGTGTTTCACCAGCAGGTAGCACGTTTCACCCGCCAATGGCCGCCATCATGTCGGAGATAGCCTCTTCTGCGGCTGTACATAGTACAAAGCAATCCCTTCAGCTCCGCCAGGTCCAATCACACGTCAACTACATCCAGAGAAGCCTGAACCTCTCCACTGGGACGCAGGGCGGGTGGAACCCGCAAGCCCAGGAGATGCTCTGGACATGGCTGGCAGCTCCCAAGAGGGGCAGCAAGGCAAAAACTGCTTTGCTGTCTATCAAGGACAAGGCGTCGTCCGAGACTGAGGAGGCCGCGAAGATTGAGAATACCAACAACGTTGCTAAACCCGAGACGGCGAAGACTGAGGACGAGAACAACATCGCTGAGCCCGAGACCGCGCAGATTGAAGATAACAGCAAGATCGAGGAACCCAAGGAAACCGCAGAGAGTGACTCTGACTCTAGCTACCCCAGCTCTGATTCCGAGGAGTCTGTGCTTGATAACGTTGTAGATACATCCGGGTGGCCCACCGATTGGCACGACACTTGGGAATGTGCAATTGGCTTGGCGAATAGCTCAGGCAACTCTTCCAACAAGCTTCGTGTAGCACAGCGTCTCATGAAGACCATCTTCGCTGCCAAGCAGCAGTGGGATGCATTGAATTAATGGCTCCAGTTTCTTGCACTAGCATGTATGGTGCTACGGGCTTCTCTTTGTATGCAGTCATAGTCAGGTGCATTAAATCATGACTTCTGTTTACAGGGGACAGAGAGAGAAGTTTATAAACAAGGCCCGCGTTTATAAACACGCCTTCTGGTGGCTTCAACCAAATCTTACGAAGGAAAACCAATCTTGAGTCCGATGCTGCTTCACGTGCTTGTGTCAGTCACTGACTGTTGCAACTACATCACGCGATTCGTCATACATGCTCACGTGCATGCACTTCAAGAAGCGAATAAGTGTTTGTAGCCTTCCCCTGGTCCCTTCCTTTCCGACGCTCTCGCCATTATGCAGGATTGCATCGCCCAAGCCCAGGGAACTTTCGTCAAATTCCACAAGGAGCACATTCACACGGTGATTGAGGAGGGCAAGTACAATATCTCTGACTTACCACTTATCGAGGTCCAAGGCAAGGGGAAAAAGTTCAAGGAGTTCTTCCGGATTGTGAAGAATGTGAGCGCGGAGGATCTAGATCGACTTCGCCAAGCCATGAATACGAACCCCAATGCCATAGCTCATTTGCCTGATTGCGTACGCCCCGGCGATGCCTTGGGTGATGCTTGCTGCTTGCTCCTTGCAGATTGTGATTGACACTGCCAATAACACAGTGCTCAACTTTTTCCATTCAACGATTGCACTTCCGTGGGGTGTGGTTAAGGTCTTCTGTCGACACGAACCCATGGTGCTGAATTACAAGATTGCGTCTAACTCCGATCTCGTGAAATGCTCCTTTCTGGTTATGCTGTCCCACATTCAAGGTGATCAGTGGCTCACTCAGTCACTTGGACAGAAGCTGACTCGGGCAAGCAAGTCGGCTTCCGAAAAGGACCCAGCATCCTGGGACCCAACCCCAGATGAGCTTCGAGAAGGCATTGATTACATCAACAGCAATGCTCCGTTGGCAAATGGTAAAAACGAGCAATTCTTGTGGGCGTTGTTGAACGTCCGCGACAAGGACTCCCCCATCTTCACATGGCCCATGCACGTTGTGAGCAGGGCTTGTCAGAATCGCACATTGGGTAACTCACAAGCCGAGCCTGAGTTCTTCTTCCCCTTGCTTATCTCGGATTTGAATGCAGCGTTTGTGGAGAAGATCCTGCCACTGATTGTTCCCACTATGCCCACACACGGACTGATACTCTTGGGCCGTGCAGGCATTGGGAAAACTCCTTTGGCCATCGTCCTTGCCCTCGCCCTGGCGAGACATTTCGTGGCATCTCGCGGTCTCACTGGTGCGGTCGTTGGTTGGAGAAGATCCAAACAGATCGACGGCTTTCGTGAAAGACCCGGTGAACTGTCCGTGCCTGTGCTTTTGGACGACCCCATCTTGTCATCTATGAGCCTGGAGGACATCAAGTCTTTCCTTGATGTCGGGGAGACTTGTTTGGTGGACGCGCGCTACCGAGCGGCGAAGTTCATGAGGAATCAAACTCGCATTCTTCTCAACAATGAATGGAATCCTGACAACGAGCCGGAGCTGCCGTACTGGGACCAGATCAGCTGGCAGCAGTTCTTGGATATGTTCCATTCCTCCATGAACAATGCGCCCATGCCACACCTCATGGCGATTCTCAAAAGGGCTACCGTGGTGATCGCAGGCCATAAAGCCGTGTATGTTCGTCTAGCCAGCGAACACCAGTCCGAGCGCATTCGGCGCTTTGAAGACAGCGGCATCACAGAAGACTGGCTGGTTTCCAAGAACAAGTCCTTCTACAGCCACTACAAGGACGGCCGCTTTGTGAAGTACCCTGGATATGAGGACGCCTTGGAAGCCGAGGCTAACCTGATCGGCGAGCTCCTAGCTTCCCCAGAGGAGAAGGAGTATCTCAGACGCGGTGCCAGCTATGACTCCTGGGCTCAGGACTATGGGGTAGACAGGGCATCAACTCCTCCACGCGGTTCAGGTCACAATCCGGCCGTGGCATCCAGTCCTTTGATCAGGTCTCCTCCCAACAAGATGGCAAAGACGCAGGATGAGGACCCCGACGAGGCCGAGGCCCGTAACCTCCATGCAGAGTCGTGACTCTTGCTCGGCTCTTTCTGAGTAGGATCGTTAGAGTTTTGAACGCGTCTGTTCTAGCCATCCTACTCCTGTAACCCAAGCTAAACAGCTTGCAATCTGTACAAACACTGATGTTCCGCATCCCGCCCTGCAGCAAAAGAAGTCGATCAATCCATAAACGCTGTGGCCGCACATGCGCAGTTGCTGCATTATGAGCATAGCGGCATGTGATGTGATCGCTGGAGCTTTTGGGTTTCGAGGTCTTGGGAAGCTCATTGTACATTGATCGCAATGGCCGACCTCGAGGTGTTCAGCACCCATCTCAAGACATGCTATTGTGGCGGGCGTCTTGCCACAGCACACACCGTCGATGCGGTAGCATACACCTTCCAAGGTGTTCAAAATGTCCACGTCCAGACGATGCGGTGCACAAGCTATGCTTGTCGCAAAAGCTTCGGACCCAACTTCGTCTGGGAGGATTCGGCCAAGTACAACACCGTGAACTCCGACACCATGGGCCGGATCCTCTTCATCAACAACAAATGTGGATTTGCTACGGACTACTTGCACTACCACTCCCTCCTTGAGTTCCGCGCCTTTGTAGCCACCAGAGCTGTCAAAGATGTGTACCAGGATGTCTTCGGGCTATCACATTCCGACAAATCCAGTCAGTTCCGAGTCAATCACGCCACCGGGATCATGTACTGGATAGCCGTACACGAGCTGGAAGCCATCGGCAAGGAGCGAGACATCATCGTTGGTAACGAGATTTCCGAGGCCAGTCTCCGCGCCTATGAGCAGCATCTTCAGCGCACCTGCTTTCTTCATCCCCGCCCATCTACGGTGCCTGAGATCGTAGCCGATGGGCATGCCAAGGTGCACGTGAAATGCGACAATGTGCTCCGCCACTCGGGCAAGCCCAAAGCAGACAAACGAATCAAGCCATACGGGCACGGCTGGTTCATGTTGGTGCACCCGAAGAATCTTAGGATTTTGTGGGCTCGGGCGACGGAGGCACCCGAGGGGAATGACATCCTGGAGACGGCGCTGCGGGAGACCTTGCCCAAGTATCCCAAGGCTGATGGCGTCGTAGTGGACCGTGCCTGTAGCTTCCTTCCCTGCGCTTGCCGTATCAAGGCCTTCAACCAAGTGAAGTGCTGGAGTGTGGACTTGTTTCACGCGCATGGTCACACTAAAGACTGCCCGTGCAACCCTTTGTATCGCCGTCGGTTGAAATCCCGATTCGAGTCGGTAAACACATCGGCTTGCGAGCAAGTCTTTTCGTGGTTTAGGGGATATGCACGAGTCTTGAACGAGGCTACCCCATCTCGCCACGCATTTAAGGTACTGTACTTTTGCAAACTCCACAATCAGGCTGTGGATGCAAAGGGTACCTCGTATCTTAACCCGTACAGTAGATCGGCAAAGAAAGGCAAGAAGCCTTACCAGTGTGGGTCCAAGAAAAGTGCCATGAAGAAGCCCGCCGCGAAGGCGACTCACACGGGTGTCGCAAAGAAGCCCGCCACAAAGGTGTCTCACACAGGTGTCGCGAAGAAACCCGCCACGAAGAAGGCGTTTCTCAAGCGATGACGGAATGGCTGTGGGGATCAGTCAAAAAACGCTGCTGTCACACAGTGTTACGCCATCGCTACCTCCTTCTTGCTTTGGTCCTTCATGACAGCCAAGGTATGCAAACTTCGTGCAACTTGGAGCTGTTATCACTCAAACCTCGTAAAAAGCAGTAAAACCAAACCCAGCTCTAGGGTTTTGGGGTTTAGGCAGAAAAGTATGGTTAGTAGATTTAGTTTTTTTTTTTGGTGGGCGGGGGCGGGAAGTTTGTTTTTTGTAGGGTTTTCGGGCCACCACAATGCTTTGGAGTTTCTGGGCTTTAGGGTTTAGAGTTTTGGGTTTACGGACCTCCGCTCGGTCCCAAAATAGGCCTTCAGAGGTTTCGGAGCTCTGGAGTTTAGGGCTATATAAGGGCTTGGAGTACATTTTGGGGAATGCCTGGGGCTTGGAGTTTGGGGTTTAGTGTTTGGGCTCTTTTTCAGCATCACACCGTTTAGGCAGAAAAGTATAGTTAACACATTTAGGTTTTTTCTTCGGGGGAAGGGGGCGGGAAGTTGAGGATTATTGGGTTTAGGGTCTAGGGTTTAGGGTTTAGGCAACAATTGGTTAACAGATTTAGGTTTTTTGTGGGGGGGGAAGGCGGCGAGAAGTTGAGGATTTTTTTAGGGTTTGGGCAGAAAAAATATGGTTAACTGATGATTTATTCCATTTTTTGTGTGGGAAGGGGGCACATTGCCCCAACCCTTGCCAAGGTGATGCCTTGGGTGGCGCCATGCTGGGGATAGTTACTTGGTACTTGGACGGGGGTTTAGGGCTTAATAGCGTTTCGGGTTCGGGGTTTAGGGTTGAGGGCTTAGAGTTTAGGGCTCAGGGCTTAATTAGGGTTTAGGGCTTAGGGTTTCGGGTTCGGGGTTTAGGGCTTAGGGTTAAGGGTTTACAGGTTAGATTTAGGGTTTAGGGCTGGTTTAGGGCTTAGGTCTTAGATGTTGACCCCTCCGGAATGTGCGACTTTGCTCAAGATCGCGGGTTGAAGGTGTAAGGCAAAGGCTTGGGACTTTGAACATCGGGGATTTAGGGTTTAGGGTTTTAGGGGTTGAAGGGTTTTATAAGGGATTCTCTAAAGGGAACTACAATGGAGACGTTCCCGAAACAGGGCCCAAAAGGGACCTAATATAGAGAACTACTGTACCCATATTACGGTAAAGCTTTCGTAAGAAACTCTAAGGATGTAGACCCCCGCAGCCGAGAAGGTTTTTGGCCTAAGGGTTTAGGGTCTAGGTTTTGCATGTGCGCACATACCCTATCCCATTTTTTAGGTTACCTATGTTTCTATATAAGAGATCCGAGCCATAAAACTAGGTACGTTAAACAAGGGGTAGGGTATGATCCTCTAGGTAGGGTTTAGGGTTATGCAAAGTGACATTGAAAATCGAGGCGAATTTCGTCTGGGGGCCCGACTACGTGTCGGAATCCTGGCTTGGCTGGGCAGTCAAAACCCTAAACCCGTACGGCGAGTTTGATGGAGGAGCCTACTTTGCGGAACCAAAAGTGGGCACCTATGCTGAAGAGCATCTAGCCTTCTTGTCAGAAGGCGGACTGGATGTGGAGGACCAGGAGGCCTGCGACTTCGCCTCCGAGTTGATCCAGTCCGAGCAGGACGCCTACTTTGCACGCAAAGGAGCTCAAACCAAAGGCCATGGCGGGTTCGCGAAGAACAACTCCCCGCCGTTTGAGATCAGTGGCTCCATCAGCCTTGACGACAAGCGGGCCAGACTGAGAGCCTTGAAGGCCCGCACTACCTGCAAGAAGTGCGGGGCCGTGGGGCACTGGTCGGGCGACTATGAGTGCCCCCTGTCAAAGGGCAAGAGCAAGAAGGGCAGCGGAAAGACCTCACCTAGCACTACTTCTTCCTTCGGTGGCGGAACCTCACAGCCACCTGGAGGCAAGGGCGGCCAGGCAAGCCCACGCGCCCCCGCACGGTCTACTTTTCCATTTCAGCCGCAACAAGCTCCCCGACAGCTCACTTACCTACCTGAGCCATGCAGCCCAAGGACCAGCTGCTACCCCATCAAGGGCGAACAACGACTGGTCGGTGATGCCTTCGATGCGTGCAGTTCCACCGCCTACGAGCTTGACAGATGGAGGCCCACCGAACAGGATCACCACCGAGGATCCTGGAGACCATTGGAGCATCGTTGCGGCCCCCCAAGGCGAAGAATCTCCCGAGCATGGACAATGGATGCCCATGGAGATGGACGACCCGGACATGCTGGAGTTGCTGGACGCCCTGGACGTGGACAGACTGGAGGCCAACACAGAGAATGCGCTGGCGACGAACCACCCACGGAACGAGATACCTCTTCTACCACTACAGAACAGAGCGCTTCAGTCACCGCCTCCGGCGAGCTCCACGGAACCGCCGCCCCGCAGGACAGCCACGACTCCAACAACTTCCGCTACTACTTCCGATGAGCAGCGCCCACCAAGGACCCAGGAGCCACCGAGGCGAGAATGCCAACACTCGAGGGTTACTTCCGCCGGCTCCAGCAGCTTCATTCACCAGGTCAAGTGCAGGGACTGCGGATTCCTGATTTCCCGCACCCGCAAGAACCAGGATGGCCCAGCCACGACTCCGACAACTTCCTCTACTACTTCCACTTGCCCACACCATTGGACCACATGGCGTGGATCGAATGGGTCGATGAGGATACGAACTTGCAGGGACTGTGGCCATCGAGAGAGGTTTTCTACGAATCCTGGGATCCATGGAGCGGTCAATGAAGCGAGAGAGGCCGCCGCAAGGACTGGACACCAAGCGGTTTCCACTCGCTACTATGACGACAGCGTCAATGTGACCATGGACCGCGTGCCCGGGATCCTCCAGACCTTTCACGACCTGGTGGTGCGGCGCATTCAAGAGCTTGAGACCGGAACGGAAGTTCCGTCACAACGACTCCATGAGGCCCCGGACCTCTCTATCGCGACGGCTATGACTTGGAGCGCACCTACCGGATTGCCATCACGGACAAACGCCCCGGCAACTCCTACAAGGACCTCCTCTACTACCAGATCGCCCGGGACGGAGCGCCGATACGGAGACACCGAACTCCACAGCAACCTGCAAAGCCGAGGACGCAACACAGTGGAGATGGGACGTTACAAGCATGGGAAATATGCCGAAGCCTATGCAGATCAGTCCTATCGGAACTGGGTCCTGGAGAACATCAACCACTGCTATGAAGGCGCTGAAGGCCTACTTTGTAGAGCGCAAAAGCTATGAGGAGAAGCCTGGTTCCATCCCCCTGATGGCTGTGGGAGAGACTACGGAGCAGATCGACGAGCAGGACCTCATCGCCATCCTGGACACCGGCTGTAACCAAACGTGCCACGGGGATCGATGGTTGGCACGATATGCCAAGGCTACAGGACACCAACTTCCGGAGGTGGACACAACCTCCGAAGTCAGGATCCGTGGGATCGGCGGGCACATCCGCACTTCAGGAGTCCGGAAACTTCACCTGATCCTCGAATTGGTGAACGGGGGCCTGGCACAAGGCGATCTCGCAAGCACCGAACTCCTGGAGTCCGACGCCCCGCTCCTCATCTCGGTTCAAGCCCAACGAGCACTGGGCTTGATTATCGACATTGCCGGCGAAGTGGTCCACGCTCAGACTTTGGGCCACGACCTCAAGTTGGCGTACAAAGACGGCTTGCTTGGCATCCGCCTTCTACCAGGAGACCCTGGAGAACCTCATGAGGATGGAGCGTCACCACTCATGGACGGACCCCATGGCCATGCTAGCGATGAAGAGAAACCACACGAACCACAAGCAGGCGAAAACCCGGGTGAGGAAGTGGCCTTCTACACCTTCGACATGGACAAGGCCAAGGTGATGAACAAGGGGCAACACGCCAGGGTACGTGAAGGAGTCGATGGGGTGAAATCCAAGGACCGCCACCTGTGCAACCAAATCAAGCCCAAGCGAGCACGCCGTCATCATGAACTACCACGTGGGTGCAAAACCTTCTTGCTTGAGATCTTTGCTGGTGCGGCCATACTTACTCAGATTGCGCTCCACGAGCTGGCCATGCCGGTTACCCCGCCGGTTGACCTCAACACGGGCTTCGACCTCCTCACCAAGGAGGGCAGACATGAGGTTGAACGCCTCATTGATCGCGACGATCCCTTCGCGATCGCCTTTGCTCCGGTCTGTGGACCTTGGTCGTCATGGACCAATATCGCCAGCGGAGCGGCGAGAAGCAAGATCATGGCACAGCGCAAGAAATGGCAGCCAGTCATTGACTGGATGTACAAGGTCACCAGGCAAAGACTCTCGCGCGGCAGGCACGTGTTCATCGAGAACCCGTGGAATTCGGCGATGTGGGACTGCTCCCACTCCCAGAAGTTCTTCAATGAGTTGCCGCACGACCACGCCACTTTGGAGCCGATGGAGTGCGTCAAGATTGACCAATGCATGTTTGGCCTTGTGGACGCCGTCAACAACCTGCCCCACATGAAGCCCACCGGCATCTTGACCGCCTCCGCCGAAATCAAGCACCGGCTCAGCCTTTACAAGTGCCACGGCCTACATGTGCATCAACAATTGGATACCAAGGCCAGATGTGTGGCAGCCCAAACGTGGCCGCGCGCCATGTGCGAGCAATTGCTCGCCGGCCCTTTGGCGGAGCTGGACTACGTCATGACCATGGTTGCTTTTCCCGCCGAGGCCGAACAGGAGCTCGAGTGCACCACCGACGATGAGGGTGACGAGAAAACCTACCTGGATGCCACCGTCACCGACAACGACCTGGCCACGACGGCTTTTCCGGACTTTGCCGCAACAAAAGAACGAGAAGAGCGGGAGATTCTCTACGAGGAAGGCGATCCACCTCCCCCTCCGGAGCCTGTGGGTGAACCACTTCATCGACGACAACAGCAATGGCGGCAACTTCCCTACAACACCAGAGTGGCACTGCGACGTCTTCACCACATGACAGGTCATGCTCCACCTTCGGCGATGCAACGGCTACTGAGAACCGCAGGGGCAGATGCACAGGCCATTCGTGGCCTCGAGAACTTCAGATGCTCCGTGTGTGAGGCCAAGAAGGTCCCGGACAGGCCAGGAGTACAAGTTCAACAAGGCGATCTCCCTGGATGTCTTCATCGTGAAGGACGCCTTGAACAAGAAGTACAAGGTGATGTCTGTTGTGGATTTGGGAACACTCTTCCACGCGGCGGTCATCGTTGGCGAAGGCGGAGGACCTCCCAGTTCGGGAGACATGGCCAGGGCGATGAACTTGATATGGTTCTCCTGGGCAGGAGCACCGGAATCTATAGTTCTGGACAGAGGCCTTGAAAATAGGGGCCAGCTCCAACAGCTGATGACGTTCCACGGAGTTCTCTTGAGTCGAGAGCCCCTACCAGCTTGGCAGAGGAGAACGACATGGCGGGATCCTCAAAGAAGTTGTGAAGTCGCTCGTGACCTCCCGGCAGCTTCGAGGGCGACAGAACATGGAATATGCCGTGACGGAGTCTGTGGGAATCAAGAACCACCGGGTGAACCACCATGGCTTCTCTCCTAGCCAATGGGTGCTGGGAAGAAATCCCCCGGACATGGAATCGCTCACCGCCCTCTTGCCGGAGGCGAAGCTCGGAGTCCACCAGGAGATCCTGGATGGAGAAACGAGTTTCGAACAACAGATGATGATCCGAGGAGCCGCCAAAGAAGCTTTCTCTCAGGTGGACAGCTCTCAACGTGTCCGAGCTGCTATGTTACGCAAGAGTGTGCCTGGACGTGGCCCATTCAACATGGGAGACTTGGTCTGCTTCTACAAGCGACAAGGTGGAAAAGCTGGTTGGAAATGGTTCGGTCCGGCGTTTGTGATCGGACAAGAAGGACGAGGAACCTTGTGGCTGTGCCATGGAGGAATTCCTATGACAGTATCGTCGGAACAATGCCGACATGCCACCGGGAATGAAATGCTGGCCAAGCGAATGTTGGAGCTGAAGCCTTCGAGGAAACGGAGACGTGAGGATATGGCCACCCCCGAAGAAGCTATGCAGTCCGCTGAAGACGACCCCTTCATCGACGACCTCATCGGAGTTGGAAGTATTACGGAAGGGGGGCAACAAGGCTTCTTCGACCTCAACGATCACCTCAGCGACTACTCTCCTTCACTTGCACCACCACCAGCAGATGCAGACGGGCAGGAGACAGCAGGACTTCATCCACCACCACCTGGACTTCCGTCAATGTCCTCAGTCGGAGATCAACGCGCGGATCAGGCAGCAGATAGCACTCAGGCTTCAGGAAGCCGAGACGGGCAGGAGACATCAGGACGTCAAGCGCCACCACCTGGACTTCCCTTGGGCAATGGCCACATGCCGCCAGTGATGGGTCCCGATCAAGAAATGCCAGATGTACCCGACAGCAGCGTGGGATCCCCGACTATCTCGGTAGGTGAACCGGAGCAAGAATTAGTACCTCCTAGCCGAGAAGTCAGTGACCGCCCAGAGAATCTACGACCTCTACAACAAGCTCTCCGAAGGTCACCGGACGCTTTGGATGGCCACCCGGCATCGCGAAATCGATCGAGATCACCACTGCGTTCCATGATGACTATCTCCGAGAATCCCTCGACCGGAAAGTACTTTGATGGCTTTCTGGCTCGGAGAATCAACAAGAAGAGCGCGGCTGCTCGAGCGAAGGAGCTGAACTTCAACAAGTCCGACGGAAGCCAACGTGAAGGCATCCTTGAGGCGAGAAAGAACGAGTGGGGAAATTGGCAAGGTTTTATGCCGTGGATGTCATCAAGCCCGAAGACGTGAAGGCCACCCTCGAGATGTACCCCGACGCCGAAGTTACCCCTACGAGATGGGTGGACATCAACAAAGCGCAGCCATGGGAACCACCACGATACAAGTCCCGGATCGTGGTGAGAGGAGACCTGGAAAGCGGCCATCGACGCGAACGGATTCCCCGACATGCTCTACGACCATGCTTGGCCTTCTCCTCTCCTTCACCGCCAACCGCAACCTACGTCTACGTGGAGGAGATATCACGGCATCCTTCTTGCAGGGCGAGAGATTGGTTCGCACCCTTTTGCTGAGGCCACCGCCCGGAGGATTGCCGGGAGTGCCCGAAGGGGCTTTGCTGAAGGCCCTCAAGCCCGTCTACGGCACCCGAGACGCTCCTCGTGGCTTCTTCAAGCGCCTCCACAACGTTTCCCTCAAACTAGGACTCCGAGCACTTCCTCATGAACATGCAGCTTATGTACTTCAGGATGATGAAGGGGTGCACGGAATGATGGTGGCGCATGTAGACGATCTGCTTTGGTCCGGGACTGAGAAGATGGACCAAGTCATGGAAGCCATCACCAAGGAGTTCAAGTTCGGATCTTTGGAGTTTGGAAGCAAGTTCGACTATTGTGGTCGTACGATCGCCCAAGAAGAGCAAGGAATACGGGTTACATGCCCCAACCATGCTTCGAAGGTGCGTCCGATCTACTTGGATCCATGGCGACGGCGACAGCGGGACTCCAAGATCACCGAGCCGGAAAGGGAGCAGCTTCGAAGTGTTGTCGGAAGCCTCAACTGGATGGTACGCGTGTGCAGAATGGACATTGCCTACGAGGTCAACTATCTCCAGGCAGTGATCGCTTGCAACGGCCTCCTGAACTATGTGAAAAGGACCCCGGAGCGCGGTCTCTACTACCACTACAATGTCTTCCCCATCGAGGACCAGGTGATCTACAGCATCACGGACGCGTCGCACGCCGCGGATTTCGATGTGGCGGGCAATGGAACGCCACTGGGAAGCAGATCCCCATCTGGACGGATCTTGGTGCTCGGGCCAAGAAGCATCATGGACACCGGCGAAGGAAAGCTTCATGTTGTGGAGTATCACTCTACGGTACTCAAGAGGGTCTGCCGCAGCACTTCGCAGGCAGAGACACAGAGCTTGATTGCCGGCTATGAGGAGGCCGAACATGTGAGGACCCTTCTATGGGGTATTCAACATGCCGAAAATGACAAGAACCTCATCCGCTCCATGGACAGCACTACAATCATGATGATGACGGATTGCAAGAGCCTGGAGCAGCACCTACGGCAGCCTGGTCTGAGCACCGTCTCAGACAAAAGGCTCGCCATCGACTTGTCGGCGATGCGCCAACTGATTTGGCGCAAGCGAGGCGAACTGGCCGGTGATCCTCTTCTTACCGATGAACCTCCTGGAGATGCCACGACACTCGTGGCATGGATCGACACCGCCACGATGCTTGCTGATGGACTGACAAAGAAGATGAAAAGCCTGCAGTTGGACCGCATGATGTCTGACGGAACGCTGAAGGTTAGCTTCGAGAAGCTGGCCAAAAGCTACAAAGTAGCTGAGGTCAAAGAAAAGTTAGGAGTGTGAAATCGGTGGTTTGTCGCAGGTACAGTGCACAGCAGACACAGCCGAGAGTAGACTCATGCGCTTGACCTCAGCCTTGCAGCGACCGTGACATGGCTCAAGCGAGCAGAAAGATCGATTGCCGTTGCCAGTGCGTTCTCGCATCAGGTCTTCCTTGCCCAGCCTTCGCTTGCTGCTGCCACGCGCAGCCGGCCGCCCGCGTCGGACGACGCGAGAGCCCGCAGGGCGGTGCACCTCGCACACTTGGGGGAGCTGTCTGCTGCCCGTCAAGCGTTAACAGCGGACCCCCTCGCGCCTCCCACCGATGCCACTTACCATCGTCATCTTTGTGACCCAGGCCGCCGCCACAGGGATTCTGAGCTTTAGAGGCTCTTGGTCCTGCCTGCAGAAGTTTAAGGGTTTGAAAGGCCGTTAACAGGTGGGCTGTGCAAGTCAAGACCGATTGGAATATGCTGTGTGTGTGTGTGAGAAAAAGACTCTTGAATGACACACCCAGACACACAACATAAAAAACTAGGTGTGACTTTGCTTGATTTACAACAGGAAGAAAACTAAACAAATAATTGTCCAGTAAATCTGTTGTTGTGTAGCCTGAGTGTGGTGGAACCGGTGTAGTCAGTGCTGTGCGAATGAGGTAGGTATGTGTAGGATGTACGAGCTGCCTAGCTGAGATGGCGAGCAAATCTTGCGTTTGGTGCAAATGCTTTTGGCGCGAGTGCCATGAGCAAGCCTTGTAGTGTGTGTTTGTATGCGAGCGAGCCATGCAAATGCTTTTGGCGCGGGTGTCATGAGCAAGCCTTGTAGCGTGTGTTGTGATTTGGACCTTGTCTTGTGTGCGAGCCTTTTTGCTTGCCTGTACCTGGCGAATCCTGCCTGTCCTGCTTGGGCCTGCCTGCCTGCCTGCCCTGCCTGCCCTGCCTGCCTGTCTGCCTTGTAGTGTGTGTGTGTGTGTATGTGCTTCTAAAGTGTGACACTGTGCGGAGATGGCTAAGTGATTTATTTGATACTTCGTTTCCGTAGCATTTTGCTCAATTCTAGCTAGGAAGCTTTCAGCACCACCCGGCATACCCTCAACAAAATGATGCACGTTCCACCTGGCGATCGTGCGAAAACTCCTCGGAGGGGGCGCTTCCTTCACGACCACCGCCCCTACGACGAAGAACCTGCGGTCGCGAGGATTCTAGGCCGGGGCAGTGAGTGCACCTGCGGAATTGTGTGTGTGTGTGTGTGTGTATGTACTTATAGCTCTGTAAAAAGGGAGAGAGCATGACATACATATACGTATATATATATATATATATACACATATACACATGTATTTCATTATGTATGTATGTATGGATGGATGGATGGATGTATGTATGTCACAATGCCACGTCTGGCAGGTCAGCGCACTACCTTTCTGAACAAACTCAAGCGCAGCCGAGGACTCTTTTCCTTTGTTTATGCGGTTGTAGTGTCTCACATGTCATCCCGTTCCGTCCTGAGCCCACGCGGTCACGAACTCCGGGTGGCTGACTGGGGTGCCCAGCACTACAAGCCCGCGCTCAGCGAGTGGACTGTCCCGACGCCAAACGTCCGCCCCCAGCGCAGCTATGCCCGGAGGGGGCGGCCCTCCACTGCTGTATGCGCGTGTCTTCCCGTCGTTGGAAGCAGTGCCACATTCGGTTTGAACGACCTCGACTACTGTGTCGCGGGCGGCTTCCAAACACTCGCGAGTTCGGAGTAGTCCTTGTTCTGTTCGCAGCGTTCTCCATCAGCTCCGGTTCCAAACTGCGACCAGTTTTGCAGCAGCTCTACCCGGGCGAGCCGCCTGCCACGGTCCGTTGCCAGGACTGCAGCGGCCGGTTTGTTAGCGCTATTTTTTTTAGAATGGCACGAGTAATTCAGACCTAGCAGAGCAGCGGCTGCACAGTTGCAGCACTTAGCACGGCAAGTCTGATCTCGCGAATGTTTGCGCCCGCTTTTTTATCCGAAGCGGCAAATCACCCGAGAAGATGCGCGAACTGGGAGCGGGATGTTGCGAAGTTTTTTGCATACATCTCTGCTGACCGAAGGAACTGTCACGACAAACCATGCCAAACAAACGGAAGGTTCGAAGAGCTTGGCAACGCCGAACTTGTTTTCTTGGGAAGAAGAAATACCTACAGAATTCAGGTTGTTGTTGCTCAGATGCCAGTTGGGGTTTCCACGTACCTGTCTGTGTGGTACAGATACTGTGCAGCCAGCCTTGCCGTTTGCAGAAATTCCGGTGTCTCCACCAACCATTTCTGCATAGACGGGTATCTTGACTCTGAAGGCGGCCCCAAGCGGCGTCAAGATTGGCGCGATTCAATTGGATTTGGCGGAGGACATCGCCCATCATGGACATCATGCTGCCACACCACGCACCACATTTGTTGCAAACATTTCGTTGGTTTGAGCTGGATGTACTATTCTTCGGTTTGAAATATTTGCAGCATCCTGCAGCCAGATCGAGGAACTATAGTAGCACAGCAGAAACACGAAACACAAGTATCTGGTGGCGTCAGCTGCTGATTCAATACACCTCTCGGGATGTGAACGTTCATAGCCAGTCCGCTCACCATTTCAATGAACCAGCTTTGAACCAGACGCATGAACCATCGCCATGCGATTGCGCTGCCTGGGAAGTGCGCGCCCTCGGGCGCCACCGCGGTTGAAAACGGAGGTTGCGGTGGACGTCCCGCAGGACAGACAACATACCGGCATAGACCAGTGATCATCACCGCCAGCATGCCAGGACTTGCTGAGAGGAACTGTCGGCGATTTCTGCCGATTGAATCGTGGCAGAGACTTAAACACTGGGTCCATGTCAGTGGCTTGTTTTTGCTGAAATGCCACGGTGCGGAACCTGCTTTGCTGCGATCTGAGGTTGGCCGAACGCAGTGGTGCGCATCAGCCAGCAGTATATGTGCACCAGACGAAAGAACATTTACGTTGTTGCAGTTTAGACATTGGGTGATGCATAGAGCCTAGATAGGTTGATAGAGTTCGATAGGTATATATACTGATATACACAATGGGCACATGCACGGCAAGAACACATCATGAGGGTTGACGTGTGGGTTCAGGCACAACCACTTTGCTTGTTTTTTTGATTGTCCATACCAGAAAGACAGTATGAGACAATTTGAACTGTCGCATTTTTGATTCAGGTGCCACCTGGTTTCGCAGTGCCGCCGAACGAACCGTTGAGCGACATGGTCGCACGGTAGGATCGTGTTGTTTGGCTGCCACCGGTTGTGGTTGCACTGCGAGGCATTCTCCGGCAAGATGATGAAGTGTGGGCATTTTGGCTGGCTTCAGGATGTTTTCCGGATGCTATGGCTATGGTTCAAATGATGTGGCATGTGTTTCAGGTGTACCCCGCCGAAGCTTTGAGCTTCCGGGCCCT